TTGAGTCTGTGAATTCATTCCAGATGACCCATGTACTTCAGTCTTTGAGGGGTCACAACCTCTCAACCCGCAACACTACCACCCTCCCAAGTCAGCAGATACCTTAGATCTCCCTCAGTAACCAAGTCCTATCAATTCTACCACAACAGATCTTGAATCTGTCCATTTTTCTCCATTCACATGGCCACTGAGGTGGTTCAAGCCCTCATCGCCTCTAGCCTAGAATAAATTCTTTTGAGGTTTTTGTTTTTGGCAGATCTGTGATCATATCAGGGTAGGGAGTGCCTATCCTCTACCAATGTGGATAGACAATTTTTCAGCAACTTGAGGGTAGCCAGGAGTTAAGAGCCTGATCCATTTGCCCAAGGTCACACAGCCTCACTTCTCCACTAAGCCTCTCCAATTATCAAAACATCCTCTTAATTGGTCTCCTGAATTCCTGGATCTGGGGCCAGCTTAAACCCTGACCAATTGTTAAATTTTTCAATGTGAGTATTTACAACTCAGAACTGCTACTAACTGCTGGATTTATTGTTTTGATTGTCTAGGCTTAAGTGATGGAGAAAATGGTAACGACGCAGTTATATTTTAATTTTTCAGACATCTAGTTGTTAGAATTTACCAGTCTCCCTACTCAACATTCAGTTTTGTGCATCACTGTATTCAACCAGGCACCAGGCTCCCCCCATGCCTAGAGCACACTCCCTCTTCTCAGCTCCATCTCTCAGAATTTTTATCTTCCTTCAAGGTTCAGCTCAAAAACCACCTCTTCCAAGCAGTTTTCTCTTATTTCCTCTGCTGTTAGTGCTTTTTTTCCCACCTAGAACTACCTCGTATTTGCTTATCTTTGGACATGTTCTACTTCTCAATAAGAGGAAGACAAAGACTGCTTCCTTTTTTATCCTGTATCCCCCAATGTCTTTCGCCTAATAGGGACTTAATGTTTGCTGAATCAAACCACATTGAATTCAGGTGTGTGATTGCAATGTTCCTTCCTGCTCCCTCCCCTCTCCAGGGCAGATTAATTCTCTCCATCCTATACCCCATGTCTTATTAGTTGGTCTTCATGAGCTGCAGTGGTAAAAAAAAAAATCATAACAACAATAATAACAATTTGGTAAGCAATCCTTTCTAGTGAGACAAGCTTCTCTCAACTTGGCTAGACTGATCCTCAAAGGACAAATATACAGTCCATGCCTTGGCCCTGAATACCTGGAATTACTGTAATCCTGAATAGCATTACCAAATACCATCTGTAATATCATTTCACACACCCTTTAGCATTATCACACACATTCCACATCTCACACACCCTTTTGCCCTTGCCAAGGAGTAGTTTATACCTAGATTGTAAATATATTATCCAGGTAAGAAGAAAGAAGCTATCCCAAACCTAGTGACAAAGAAGGAAGAGAGGGAGGGAGGACAGGACAGGAAAGGAAAGGAAGAATAAGGGAGAAGGATAAGAGGAGAGGGAGGAGAGAAGATGACAGAGAGGGAAAAAAGGGGGCAAGGGGAGAAGGAATAAAAGGGGGCAGGCGGGGGGGAGGGAGCAGGGGAACAGGGAGGGGGTAGAGGGGCAGGGAGGCAGGTGGAAGCGAGCAGGGGGGACAGAGTGGGAGCAGGGAAGGGGACAGGCAGGGAGGGGAGCAAGGGACCAGGGGGAAGATGGCCGGAGGCAGGCCGGCAGGGGGCAGGCAGGGCAGGGGCAGGGGCAGGCAGAGGGCGTGCTCCTGCCCCCTCAGTCTACGGTGCCACCTGCAGGCAGCAGCTCCCCGAGGTCCGAGGCGGGCTCCGGCCGGCCTTGACGGCCCGTTAGTCCCAAGGCAGCCGATCCCGCGTGACGCCACAGTCCGCTCCGCGCGCCGGTCTTCCCCCACGCAGAAGCCCGAGGTCTACCTCACCCACTGACCTCTGGCATTAACGCTCCGGCCAAAGTGCACCCAGACTCCCGCGGGCGGCGGCCGTTTGCCGGTGCCCCGGCCCCCGTCCATCGCGCCGCGGTCCCGGGAACGTTCCAGGGTCGCTCACTGCGGGGCCCCCGGCGTTCTCCCGGCCCCGCGCGGTCGTCCCCGCCGAGCCCTCCCCGCACGCAGCTCACCTGAGCTCAGGTCCAGCCCCCGCGCCGAATGCGGTCCATGGTCCCAGCCGGGTGCCGCCTGCGCACGCGCCGCCCTCCGCCCCCGGGTGAAGCCCAAAAGCTTCTCCTCGGACTTTGCACAGTCCCGGGGCAAGATCCCGGCGGAGCCACCGAGCTCCGGACTGCGGGGATAGAGCGTCGCCGAGGCGGCCCGGCTCTCCCACCTCTCCCCACCTGACGCCTTCTTCCTCCTTCGGGTCACCAAGCGACGACGCCACCTAGGGGAAATGCGAGGCCATGGCATGCCTTCGCAGCACCCGTTGGAAAGGATCATAACACCGTTAATGATAAGTAGGATTTAGAGCTGGTAGGGACCATGCTAAAAGGTTTGCAAAGCGCTTTACAAATATGTCCTCACTTTGTCCTTAGGACAACCCTGGGAGGTAGGATGCTGTTTGTTATCCCCATTTCTCAGATGAGGAAGCTGAGGCCGACCGAGGACTTTGCCAGGGTCACAGTTGGTAAGTATCGGGGGCAGAGTCAGAATTTGGGTATTTCTGACCCCAGGCACAACACTCTAACTTCGGTGGGTCATCGTTGATGGTCATTGAGCCCAATCACCTGATTTTACAGGGAGGGAAACTGAGCCCCAGGAAGGCTAAAGTGATTTGCCCAGTCACACAAATTAGCAAAAGGTCACACAAAATAGCTGAACTGGAGTTCAAGCCCAAGTCTTCTGACTTCAAAGTCTATGCTCTTTCCTGTCCTCAAAACCTTAAAAAAAAAACAATTCTTGACTGCGCTTTGAAAGGTTCCAGTATTTTAAGAAGTACAAAAGGTGTTGAATTTTGTGAACTTTATGGAGAAAATTTTGGAAGACTACATGCTAGAGATAAAAAGGACCTTAGATTACGGGTCCAGATATCTATCTACATTGTGCTCTTCATTTTATGAATAAAATCACTGGGGCCCTGAAAACTTAAGAACTTGCTCACGATCTCAGGAGTTGAAAAATCTCATCCTGACTCCAAATCCCTTGTTGTTTCCACTGAGTTTACTCCCTGCTCCTCTCTGCGCCTTGGAAGCCCCAGCTCCCTTCAATTGTTACCTCCTCTAAGGTCTTTCCTGAGTTGCCGGGTTGGTACTGCTTACCAGTCCTCCTCCCTTTTATTTTTGTATGTGTTGCTATACATTTTATGCCTCTCCTCATCTCCCAGTAGAATATAAGCTCCTTGAGGGTAGAGACTGTTTCATTTTTGTTCATTTTCATTCCCAGCACTTTGCACATAGTCAGTGCTTAATAAATGCTTACTGGATTAGGGGTTTGCTTGGTCACACAGTTAGCAAGTGAAGCAAGATACTCAAACTCAGTTCTATGTGCCCAAATCATACCACTATATGGCACTTTTCGGTGCTGGAGAAAGGAAGGAAGGAAGGAAGGAAGACAGTCCCTCCTTTCTGATGTAGAGAGTAAGCTCCTTCAAGGCAGGGTCTGGTTCTTTTTTCTTTGTCTTGTTGAAAGGTTAAAGTATTTTAACAAGTACGAAAGGTGTTGAATCGTATGAATTATATAATAGCTTACTACATTTCTACTGGGAGGTGTGGGGAGACCATATATGTACACAGGGCCAAGTCCAGGGCTCCCCCACCCCAGATAACATTACCCTGGCCTGATCCGTTTTCCACAATGTAGGTTCATCAGTTTCCACAGTCAACTTGTAGGTACAGCAAGGAAGCATATATATCTGCAGTAAATTAAAATCTAGCTAAATGTCATAGTAATTTTGTGTATTAAATTTAAAGCTAAGGTAGTTTGGTGTAGAAGAAATAAATAAATTAACCAGTCAACAAACATCATGTGCCAGTGATACAAAGACAAAAAAATTGAAGTCCCTGCTTTCAAAGAGCTGACATTATATCCAAGGAAAAGTGTGTGTGTCTGTGTATGTATATGTATATTTATGTGTACATATGTATGTATATGTATGTTTATATATATGTATATATAGAATGGATAAATAAATGCAAGGTGGATAGAATATAATATATACTATGTATGATATCAAGTCGTTTGCAAAGAGCCCTAGAATTGGAATCAGAAGGACCTGAATTTGATTCCCTGCTGAGGCAGACCCAGACCTCTTCGAGCCGGGTTCCTCTTCTGCAAAATGAGTAACATGAATACTTGCATTACCCACTGCCCAGGGTTGTAGTGAGGAAGGCACTAGAGACCTCTAACCTGAGTAAGGACTTAATTTTTGGATCTGAGACAGAAGATGATTGCTGGCAGCAGTCACAGTGTTGCAGTGTTAAGGATCCCCCATACTACTCTCAGAGCTATTAATTTGCACATCCATTTTATATTAATCCTTTAATCTGAAGATGCTAATTTTTAAAAGAAAAAAGCAAATCTCTCAGGGGCCTGAGTGTTCCAGGAGCCTCGTTTGTGGAGGGAGGGCCAGTTGCTCTGAGCGTACCCTCGTCAGCCAAAAGCCCAAACCCCCCTTCCTCGACACCTCAGGGCTCCCCAGGCGCCCGGGCTCAGCCACGGTGGATTTCCCCGGCTCTTCCCGCGCTGGTGGGCGCGAACCGTTGCAGCGTGACATCTGCGACGGCCCCAACACACAAAGCCGAGGTCAGCTCTGCGCTCTGCTGGGGCGGCGTCTCGCGTTGCCCTGGCAACCATTGAGCGGCGTCTCGAGCTGAGCTGACAGCCAGCGTGCACGGGAGTAAGCGCCGCCGGGGTTGGTCCCCGGGAGGATCCGGACCAATCGGATGGGAGGTCATTGGAAGGCCAGTAGGGGAGGTTAGAGGTAGGAAGAGGAAAGTAGAGGCGGCAAAGGGGGAAGAGTCGGTAGCGGCTGGAACCCGGGGAGTCTGTCCGTTGGAGGAAGATGTCTTCCCGAGGACACATTGGGGATCCTGAGGTAAGAGGAGCGCTAGGCGGCGGCAGGAAGGGCCTGCAGGCCTGGAGCAGGTTCCACGTGGGCTCCCGGGGACTTCCGCCGCTGGGTGGACAGGGGCTCCCAGAGAGCCAGGATGTTGCAGCGTGAGGAGCCCCGAACCCCGGGGAGTGGGGAGGATGCTGGTACTGAACGGAGGAAGAGGGGGAGGGCAGAGACCGGGAGGGGGCGGCTGGGGCGAGGGAGGGAGGCGATTTAATTCAATCCAGCAAGCTTGGGTTAGGAGACAAAGGAAAACGAAGCAGACCCTGCCCTGGAGGAGCTTACGCTCTGAGTCTGCAGATGGGGAGGCGGGGCAAGATACACTGACACCGAGAAGGCTATGTCTTTTGCTGTGGGCAGTTATCTTCTGATAGCGTTAGGAATGCCTCCAGGTAGAGCTGATGACGGGTGAGCTGAAGCTGGCAGGGAGCTGGGGCCTTACAAAGGTGGAGGTAGGAAGGGCATGCATCCCAGGCAGGGGGGGCCAGCAGGGGCACCGTCTCCACGGTGGATCCACTTTTAAATTGGTTCAAAAGTCACTTCCCCTAGTATCGGAGGCCTAGGTGAGAAATATTGGAAGATGTGGTTAAAATTGTGGAAATGGAAATCTGTTTAACTGGATGCAAACTATTTTAAAATGAATAAATTCCTTTGGTCCTGTTCTGAGTGAGTTGTGTAAATCAGTTACCAAATCCTGTTCTGTTTGACTCATCTTTCCTATTTCTGCTTTTAACCACCTTAAATTCAGACTCTTGTTACTACAGGCCCTGGACTACTAAAGTGGCTTTATTGATCTCCCTTTATTAAGATACTCCCTTCACCAGTCCATCTTTTACAGCATATCATTTTGTGTGTGTGTGTGTGTGTGTGTGTGTGTGTGTGGCAATTGAGGTTAAGTGACTTACCTAGAGTCACACAGCTAGTAAGTATGTCTGAGGTTGGATTTGAACTCAGGTCCTTTTGACTCCAGGGTCAGTACTCTATCCACTGGGCCACCTAGCTGCTTCCTCAGTTTAATCTTAAGACACTACTTTGATTACTTGACTCCCTGACTCAAAAACCTTCAACTGATTCCAACAGAATAAAATCCAAACCCCTTAGCATGACATTTGAGACCCAAAGCCTTTGCGCATTTTGAGTCTCTTATTTTCTCCCATACCAACTTTTCTTTTCAACCAAACTGTTTTAAGCTTCCAAATATGAATTGCAAAATTGACCCTGCTTCTAGCCTGCTCACTGTAGCCAGAACATGGCACGTTGAAATATGATGCCTCTTCCACTCCTCTCTCCTAAATGAAATTCCATCCTATAAAATTCAGCACTGATGCCATCCATCTTCTTTCTTTCCTTTTTTTTGGAGGCAGTTGGGGTTAAGTGACTTGCCCAGGGTCACACAGCTACTAAGTGTCAATTGTCTGAGGACGGATTTGAACTCAGGTCTTACAGACTCCATGGCCAGTGCACCACCTAGCTGCCCTTGCCATCCATCTTCATCTATGATGTCTCCTTGATTATCCCAGCTGAAAATGATCTCTTTTGCCCCTGAATCTTATGATGAAGTACATTAGAGAGGGGAGGCATAAAGCAAATTGCTGTTTGAAGTCCTAAAGGTGATGGATTGTTAATAACCAGGGTGAGGAGGGAAAATTTCATAAATGAGAGAAGGGAGTAATTGAGTTAGACTTTAAAGGATGGGTAGGAATTCAGTAGATGAAATCTGAGGTGAGAAGGAATATTCCAGGAAGAGGGAGCAGGGTAAATAAATAAGTGCAGAGATGGCAGAGTACTTTGGGGCAGAGAGTTGTTGAATTACAGGTATAGTATAGAACTTGTGGAGATAATAATGTGAAATAAGATGGTTATCTTGGGGTAGTATCAGATTATGGTAGACCTTGAATCCAAGTAAGGCAAAGGAATTTTGATTTTATTTAGTAGGCAATAGGGGCCACTGAAAATTTTTCAGCAGAGGAATAACATGACAAGATCTGTGCATAAGAAAAATTATTCTGGCAGTATTATGAATTTCAAAGAAGGAATTTTTGTTAGGGAAGACTTCACGGAAGTGATATTATTTGAGCTGAGTAATTGGAGGGATACGTAGGATATGCAAAGATGACTGTTTTATCTTTCCTGTTAAACTGAAAGTGCTCAAAGGACAAGGGCTATGTCTTTATACATCTTTGGGTCCTCTGTATTTGGGACCCTCAGTAAATACTCTTAGAATAACTGACCCTCCTTGGAGCAGTCTTTTCTTAGCCTTCTTGCCTTCCAACCTCAAAAGGCCTTTATATGGTTATATACTGGAGGGAATTATAAAAAGTATGAGCTATGATAAGTTCATGGATCGTTAGCAGTAGTAGAACACAGGTAGTATTTAGATGGTGGTTGGTCAAGAGCAAAAAGTTAAACTGATTACTGTGGATTAAGTGAGGCTGTGTGATAAAGAGAATAGACAACTGTGACATCTTAGGAGTCAGGGAACACCTGGATTTTCAAGTCCTGCCTTTGACACATATTGGCTGTGAGGCCCCAGGGCCAATAAGTCACTTAGCTTCTTAGTATACCAGACAGCTCTCTAAGACAACTGTTATTATTAACCTTTTTTGTGTCCTGGACCCCATGGGCATTCTGGGGAACCTTTAAGTTAATAAAATATGTGGGATTACAAAGGAAACAGGTTATATTCAAATAGCAGGTATCAAAATGTTCTAAAAAAACAACTTTAGGTTTAAGATCTTAGGTTAAGAACCCCTGCTTCTATAACTTTTAGGTTACAGAGCATTTGGGTATCTGCATCTATAGAGGGAGCTTCCTCACCAGGATTTCCCTGTTCTAATGAAATCACAGGTCTGGACACATGCAGTAATGGGAAAAGAGAGAAGAAGCCTTGCATTTTAAGGGGAGTGGATGGATTTCATATTAACCCATCACTGGCTTGTAAAGCTAGACCTAAGTCATTCTCTGTAGTGTCCTCTGCTGTACGTGACTTGCCTGCCCAAAATCTTAGCTGCTATTTCCTAAACGTTTGCTTCTCCCCTTTCCTGTTACCCTCGTTTTTCCATTAGCCCAATGATTGTGGCTTTTCTTTTCTTACAGTTTCTGACCAAAAGGATTCCACAGAACCCAAAGTATCAGCATGTCAAGACGAGACTTGACACTGGTGAGTAGAGATTAGAACTTTGGAAAAGTCATGATCAAATTAGTAAATTGTTTAATTGCACATAGTTAGCTGAACAGCTAATTATTGGCAGGAGCTAGTGAGTTATAACTGGCACAAGTCACAGAACTTTCTGACCTAGTCTTTCTGAAGCTATGTACTTGATGTTTTTGTGGGATTGGGAGTTCTTATTTTCGAAAATTACTAATTAAACAAATTATAACCACTTTATTCTCCCGCATAAAGTTGGAAGTAAGGATAGCACCTATATTGGCATTGGAGGGCTGGAGAAACTGAGGCACCAAAAAGTTTCATATTGTGCTCATTAAGTTAAAGAGCTAAAACAAAATCTAAGGATCTCATCAACTTTTCTGCTTCATATTTAACATATTTCTTCCCTTAAATTAGAAACACTGTGGTATATATGTATGTCTTTACTTTTTAACCATTTGAGCATCTGCTGCTTGAAAATATCCCATGGTGTTTTTCTGATGGATCATGGTCACAGTGCACCCTGCTGCCCACATTACCTAGTATTCTCCCCCAGCAGCCGTCCTCTGCTATGACTGAGGAAGAACAGTCTCCTGGAACATAGGCATTCATTTAAATCTTTTCATCTAGTTTGCCTTTTCCTCCTAGTGCTCAATTATGTACACAATTCATAGTTTAAACAGACTTAAGTGTTTTAAATAGGATACGCTACTGTAACATACGGCTTCTGCCTTTAACCAAGGAATTCCGTGCTTTGTAAATATTCATCCTCACTAAATTCCTGGTTGATGAAGAGATGAACAACATCCCTGCTTGTAAAGAACTGGAAAATTGAGGCCCAGAGACTTCAAGTCCCATGGGGAATCTTAGGAGAAGAAGTTAACACAAGAATTTCAAGGACCGAGGAATCCTAGCACCCCGAGAATCCTGACTTCAAGTCCAGTATACTAGCCACTAGACTTGGCGTCCTCTGCTGTTTTCTCCTTACCTGTACTTCTTCTATCACCCAATACTGTCAGTTACTACACCTCTGTCTCCCTATGAACTATGACTGAACTGCACTTCTGGAATAAACCTTTCTGTGAGGTTTGCACCCAAATTAAGAACACTTCATTAACTCTGGGATACGCCAGCAAAATGGAATTCTGTGTATCCAAAATTTTAAAGGTTGGGATTAGTTTCAGATGGATATTTTTTTCCTTTACATTTCAATGTCATATATTTTCAGAGTTTTCTTTTTCCTGAAAAAAAAAGTCTCAGAATTATGATTCCTAGTGGATTTCCATCTCTCCGCCTCATATCAAGCATAAGTTTAACCCCATAACAATGTGAAATTCTTAATTTTTTCGTAAAGGGGATGCTCATAGTTGAATTTTTTAGTATACATCAAACCCTTACATCCTTCCACGTGATGATCTTTCTAGTAAGCTATCTTTTAATTAGCTTGATTATGGTTTGGGGGAAGCAGATATAATTATTTGCTTAAAACTCAATTTTGGGCTTTTTTTTTTAAGCTAAGTAAATTAGAATGTTTTTACTTTAAGTTCGGTTATTGCTCTGGGAATTTTGTGCCACACTGAAACGTGGGCTTGGAGTATGCCAAAATGAGCTGGCAGTCCCTGTGTAAATAGGTTTAATCTATAGGTTTTAGAGGACTCTGTAGTCAGAGCAGTAGAAATAAGCACAAGGCTTAACAAGCATTTCGAAATCCCAGGCTAAATAGATGGGTCTTCAATTTTTTCTTACAAACAGTGGACGAGTCAGAGTTAAACTCAAGAGGTTATGAATTCCATGATGTCACCTCCTGTCTTCAACAAAATTATCTACTCCCGAAATCTTCAAAGACCTCAACATTCCTCCTGGGTAAAGATTCCTTTTTTTACTCTGTGTTTTTGAGTCTACAGTTGACTGGAACTTACTGATTTGTAAACAAAGCTGGAAATCTCAGGTTTATTTTGAACCTCCAATTTTTTTCTTTTTTTCCTATGAACTTCATAAACCTAAGAGCGTATCACTAACTGTACCCGGTGTTAACAGAGCATCATTAATTGGACTCAGGCAGTCCCCAGTGAAATTTCTTATGTGTGTTATTCAGTTACCCTTCCAGTGTTCTCATGTTTTCCCTTCCTTATTTTTCATGGGTTCCTGCTCTGACCAGAGCTGCAGCCTCATTATTCACTCACTCATATAGTCTTTAGTCACCACCTTTATCTTTTTCTAATTTAGAGTTTTTCTGACTTTTCCAAAACACTCAGTCTCTTGAGTCTTCTGCTTCCTATTGTCTTCTTCATTCAGCACCATGCTTCCTTTATCTCCACACTGTCTTCTTCTTTGTCTAAATATCTGCTAATTGGAGTAGATGAAGGGGGAACTGCTCTCCCTTTCATGCTTTCTACCCCTCCAAAGCAGAATACTTCTTTTGAGAGAAGGGAAGTAGAGGAATGTAGATATGTCTCAGTAACTGGAGTCATGCCTTATAAAACATTACCCAAGTTAGGGTGTCGCTGCCTAGAACACTTCCTTATCTTATTAACAAGATGCTAATTAGATTCATGTTATAGGAAGTAACATAGAAAAAAATCTAATTAAATGAGTTGTGTTGACTAGATCTATCTAACAAAAGAGAACCAACCTTGGCTGAGTCGATGGAGGAGTGACAGATTTTTCTGTTGATTTTAGTTTTAAAATTGTAATTTGACTTATCTTCCTCTTAGATTGTAAACTTCTTAAATGATGAGCACCAGAAAGGCCATTGGACTGGTCATCAGGATACCTTTTAGTCGTGACCTTGGCAATAACTCACTTTGACTGTAAGCAAGGTCTAGACGTTTCTAAGGTCCCTTTCAGCCCTAAAATGCTGTGATTCTCTAATTCTGTGTTATATATTCTAGGGCTACTTTAGAGCCCAGTACAGATTTTAGCATATTAAAAAATGCTAGAAGTGTGTACACAGCTTAAAAAAAAAACCCAATATGTGAAAATCCAAACTTAGATACCTTGTAACTTATGGTGTGGAATTTTTATTTTTTGGTTTTCTTTCATTACTGAAGGAATTATTTGCTTACTTTAACAAGAACAATTTCCATTTATAAAGTACTTTCATGATAACAATCCTGTGAGGTATAGGTATTGAAAGTATTCTTATCCTTCCCCATGTTATAGATGAGGAAACTGGCTCGTAGAGGTTGACTTTGCCCACAATCACACAGCTAATTTGAGACCCAGAACTTGAATCTAATTCTCCTGGCTCCATGTTCAGGCATATATTGTCTCTGTAGTAAATTTCATTCATTGAACAGATATTCATTCTATCATCAGATATTCCGTTAAATGCTTATTATCCAAGGGGCGCTGTATAAGAATTAGGTAAGATGTATTGTCATGAAGCATAAAGTCTAGCAGAGAAGATATAACCGATACATCAAACTGTGAGAAAGTTCATTAGAAAGTACAGAGTGCCATGGGAAGTCTTTTCTAGCTCAAGGGAAGAGTTTGTATAGAAGAGCAATAGGAAATTAATTGGAAAGATAAGTAGGGGCTAAATTGTGGAAACGTTGCATGTCAGGCTGGGCAGGTTGGGGCTTTTTGGAGTAGGCAGTAGTTTTGAGTAGGGGGCTCCATAGGACCCAGTCTGAAGAATAGGTGAGTACAAGGGGAGCCAAGAGACCGGAAGGCGGCACAGTGAGAGGGCATGTGGTGAGAAGGGACCAAAGTAGGGCAGAGGTACTAAAGTACGAGTCAGGCACAATCTTTTAAGAATGCCTCTTTCTCACAAAACAGAGCGCACATCTATTAACATAAAATGGGTCCTGCTGCCAGCCTCGTTAATAGAATGTGCTGACCACAAAGCTCGTGTGATAGGCCATGCCCAGAACCATCAGCAGAGCCTGAGTGGGGCAGGCTGGTGGGGTGCTATCTCGCTTCTTTTCAGGAGGACCAGAGTCATACTTTTAGATTATATTGGTGTAAGAGCTTAACTGCTTAACCTCACTGAGCCTCAGTTTCCTTAACTGTAAAATACAGATATAATACCTCACAGAGATCACATGAAATAGAACATTTCACACACCTTTAACCAACGTAAACATCAGCTATTACTCTTACTAAATAGGATAAAGCCAAATTCCTTCCTTAGTCCTACAATTGAAACGACGTGTATATGTACCACCTTCCCTTTTTTATCTCTCACCTCCGCACTGTTTCTGAGATTCTCAGGTTTCTGAGATATCCTTGGGGGAATGCTGAACAGGTTTTGACTGTTTGTCCTAGATTTTGGTTATGATTTTGCCAGTGTTTTTTTAATGGCCTTGAAAGACTTCACTTCTCTTCTGGCTTCCCTCTTGTATAAAATAACAGAACAACACTAACCTAACTCACAGGGTTGTTGTGAGGTTGCCACAAACGATTGTAAAAATATTTTGTAGAATTTGAAGTGCTATGTAAATGCTCTGTGTAACTGTTTAACAATGACTTAATAAAATTAATAAACATAAGATGATACAGCAGTGGGTATAAAATAACTTCGTATGTGGAAAACGCTTTATAAATCATGTCAAGGAAAGCATTACTTTGAATAATAAAGACTGTATGTGATCACATTCACTGTTGTTTTCTTTTGTTATGTGTCCTGGGGAGCTTAGAGCACAAAGTGGCCCTTACCAACTACTAGTAAGGTAATAACGCTTGTCCATAGCTGCCTCACAGACTGCATATTTTCAAAATTGTGTATGTGACACTGAACTTTTTCACAAAGGTAAATTTAGTGAGCCAGATTAGAAACTTAGAGGTTCTGAGTTCTGATCCTGACTCTGCTGCTTCTCATCATGTGAACCACAGGAAATAGCTTAACCCCTCCCCCTCCTGGTGCCTCAGTTTCCCCATTAATGATTTCCTTAATAAAAGAAGCATAGAACTGTAACATTTCACCTCATGACAGAATAATATAGGACACATAATTACAAATGGCTAAAAATCACTATGTGTGGTGCTGTGCAAACAGCCCTAGATGTGGAGTCAGAAGACTTGATTTCAGAACCTGGCCCTGCCTCTTAAACTGTCAACCCTTGTGACTTTGGGAGAGTCATTTAATCTTTCCGGGCCTCAGTTCATCTGTAAAATGAGAGGGTTGGAGAATAGGACCTCTAAGATCCCAGTCCTAAATCTGTGATCCTATAAGGAATATTGTCTCCCCTCTTTGTAGGAGTCAGTCTTACCTTACCAGTCTTGCCTTCAGTGGGATGGAGACGGGAAAAAGGTTGTCTGGGGACGACTTCTGAGTTTCTTTGAAGTATTTTTTTACGACGTCCCTAGTGTGACAGACCAAAGTTAATTCTAGGACTGTGTTTGGGTGGGGTTCGGGCCTATTCTAGGCTGGACTCCTAAGTAGGCTGGAAACTTCAGGAAACCACTAGAACTGATAGTGTCTCTAAGGACCTGTGGAGCAGAAATGACTTGGATCCAAGCCAGACTTTCCAAGGTTGCTCTTAACTAAAACCCTTCCCTCCCCTATAATCTACCCAGCATAGACTGAACCTACCCTGGGCACCGGGACCCATAGGGATATGTGGCTTAGTGTTAACACATGTAATAAAACTTGATTTTAGGTTGGATTTTATGAAATAACGATATGAAGTATTAATGATAACTGAAATAGAAGACTATTTTATGTATATGTCTAATGAATCTCCTGAATTTCAGAGCAAGGAGTGTGTCTGTGCCTTTGGCCCAAACCTGAAGACTAATTTAGAGGGATTCTTCAGCTGTCTAGTTACTGCCATCTTAGAGACATTTATTTTTTCTAAATTTGGCCTGGTTAGCCTCCCAAAGGTATGAGTACAAACTATCCTCAGGTAAACTATATAAAAAGGAAAAAAATCAAAAAGCTTTTTTTCCTTTCCAGGTGGCCCAATAAATACTTGCTGAATTGACTTGAAACAGACCCAGTAAAAAAAATGGCAACATCTGACTGAGGGCAAAGATTCCATCCATTCGCTAGAGCGATCCTGGCTGGCCTACTTTTAATATTTGAAAACTTCCCAAGCCACCTTGGCTAGAATTCCCCTCATACTGTAGACCCGAGACTCTTTACAGGGAACTGGATGTGATCCACTGGAGTGGTAAACCTTGTTATTTCCTAGAAAATCCAGTCTTCTGTGGGCTTCCACAAGACTGTGTGTGGTTCAGGTTGCCACATCAGCCTGACTGCTAGAGAAAAGGAGAAAATACGCAGACCCCGAGGAGGCTTCAGGGAATGCCGATCAGATGGCCAGACAGGCAACCCACTAGGCGTTCAAAGGGTGATGATGTCTGGTCCTCCTTTCTTTGCATGTATTTCCCCAGAGAATGATTACAGTGGAATAGGCAACTTGGACCTGTGACTTCACTGGTATGGAGTACTCCCAAGTGAGGAAACTCCTCTGCCCAAGCAGGTTGGCACTTTCTTTTCAACATGGAGTCTTCGTTGCCTTGAGCTCTGAGAGGCTTTTAATTGACTTTGCTTGGGGGGTGTCACACAGCCAGGATGTGTCAGTGGTGGGACTCAATCCAGCCTGATCTTCCTGGCTTCAAGGCCTGTTCTCTATCCACTATAACATGCTGCCTCTCTACAGTAGGATGAAAGGGAAAAAATGAACTTTAAATCAGAAAAAAAAAAAGTAGATAAAATTTGTCTAGGGTAGTGTCTTTAATCTGCTGTAGGGACATAACCCTGGGGGCTCTAAATATTCACTGGTTGTGTACCTGTGGCCTAAGCTATATTTTTCCAAAACATCCCCCTGCCTTTTAATGAATGGAATAGTCCACAAGAAAAAAAAATGTTTACCTAGCTACGCAAATTTGTCTATTGTCCAAAACTCCAGTGATAGTTGAGAAGACTTAGAACAGTTTTGTGTCTCCCTCCCTTATTCCATTGTATCACTCATTTTCTTCCACTGAAAATCCTCTAAAACCTTTATTCTCTTTTTTAGGTAGCAGTATGACTAAATATACTCAGAAACTAGAAGAGATTAAAAAAAGTAAGTAACTGAAGATCCGAGGAAACTCAGGTTTTATAGTTGCCATTTACTTTTAAATCCTTACTACCATAGTTCTGTGAATATTCACGTATCTAGCTAGGGCTTATTGTTAGGTTTGAGGTCTAGGAAATGAGAGTGGGGGGAGGGTCTGTGTGTCTGAGGGAGAGAGAGAGAGAAGAAAGGAGAAAGCGCCTAAGAGATATATAAGGTATAGAGACTGAAAGAGATGCACAAATAGACAAACTGAATTATGGAAACCCAGAGAGAGAAAAGGAAGGAGAGGGAGGGAGGGAGGGAGAGAGAGAGAAAAGAGGCAGAGATTGGGAATCAGAGGTGCCTGGCAGGGGCCCCAGCACCTTGGAAGCTGTTCCAGGGACAAGGGAGCATGGAGACTTTGTCCACTGCCTATGTGTCAGTCGTTGCTCAATGATCAAGCCACACCTATCTGGTTATTTTGAATAAAACATCAGCTTGTAAAATTGGGGCCTGCCAGCTCAAGGCCCACTGGTCTTTTTTTTTTTGTTGGTCATTCTTTAGGCAGGGAGTTAATGTCTAGAAGTAGGTTATGGGCTGATGGAATGAGCACCAGAATCATGAGGACAGTGTACTGATTACAGCCCAGCCTAAGACTGCCTTAGCAGCTTGGAGCTAATTACTTAACTCTCTCCTATCTGTTTCTCCAGATTTCAGAAAAGGATAATAATCCTTTATGTGATTTTTTTTTTATGGCAAACCATAAACTATGAAGTGCTTTGAAATCCTTTAAGGTATTATTATGTGCTTTTAATTCTATGCTGAGTCTAGTTTTCCTCTGAGAACATGTCTACCTTGAAAGAAAAGCCCAACTAGCTTATTGATGGCGGTTCCAGACCTGGGCCTGACCCATTTTTTTTTTTACCAGTACCTTCACTGTAATTTACTGTATATAGTACAAAATTTTTTGTTATCACTAGATTTTTTCCCCTCTTCTACTTTTTTTTTGTATTTTCTTCGTATTGATTGCTTTTATTTTTACTTTGCACTTTACTTACACTACCTGGAGGGCAGTCGTTTATATAGTTTTTGTTCACAGCCAACTTTTTCTTTAGGGGCCATTGTTAAGATTTAAAAGAATGCTGTTAAGAAGAACATCTCGAATGATTAAACTTTTCAGAATCTCTTTTACTCACCCTGGTTTCCTTTTGGTCATGCCTGGTTCAGCTGGTGGGATTTAAAGCAAGTTGAACAGTATCTATGTTGGCTTGTAGTCCCTTGTTCACTGATCCATTGGAAGTACTTCAGTGTAGACTTTGTGGAGAAGATACTCAAATCCGCAGTGAAACCTTATCTTCATAGGAATTTTTCTAGAGTGCTTAAATCCCTGTAAAAAAATAACATTTCAATTGGAAGTGTTGTTACAGCATTGTTTCTTTTGTAACAAAATTTTAAATAGGAATTATATCCCCAAAGAAATACCTTTGAAACAGAGTACTTGAAGATACTTCCTTCGCTTTTCCTCTTTAGAGTTATGGGGTTTCCTTTTAGCAAGACAGGAGGTAAATATCGCCTTGTTCCACACCACTTTGTGCTGATTACCAGACTAGAATTACTTTAAAATCTGTTTTTGGAACTAAGTCTAGGAAGATGTTTCCTTCGCTTTCCCCTTTTAGAGTTGGAGGTTTTCTTTTGAGTAGAAAGGGAGGAGAATATTACCCTGTTTCACAACACTGTGAACTAATCATTTGACTCAGATTACTTGAAATGCCATGTCTTTCTGTTGCTATCTCCACCACAAACCTTGTTCTGTTGCTTCCTTTGATTTCAGCCTTCCACTGTGAGTCCAATTTCCCTTTCCTAATAGCCAACTCAAATTGAACCCTGCAAGCACAGAAAACGCTTTGTCATCTGAATATACTGTCAGCGGTACCTGGGTAAAATAAGGACTTTGTGTCTATTGGCTATTTATAAAGCCTCTCCTTGATTTCTCATGGATAGATGACACTGGTTGGATGCTGCGTGAAACACCCCGGACAATCAATTCCCTGTGCTTCCAGTAACTTGAGAGTAGCAGACTTAGAATGCAAACTTACTGGAAAATCAGAACTTGATATATTATCTGAAGGTGGGATTATCTGTCTTCAACACAGAGTTTTGAGAGAAGCCACATTAGCAGCAGGTCCATTTTTAAAGCTGTGGTTGCTCTTGGAAGGACGGACTGTTGGGGTTTTCCAAGTTATAATTCTTTTTTTAATTTTAAATTTTCTATAAATACTTAAGCTCAATCTTATATCTGAATAATAATGTCAGAAAGTCCAAATGATGGGTGTCCTTCTAAACCAGAACCAGGTATGTGACCAGAATGCAGTAAATCAGTGTGATTTTTTTTTCCAGTACTTTTGACTAGAAGAGTGCAAATGTATTTTTAAAAATTCTCTTTTTCTGAGGCTTATGCCAAACATTGAGGCGATGGATGGCAGAGTTTATTTTCTTGATGACAGTAGTCATCATTTCGCTTAAAGGAAATTTCCGGTTTTTGTCCTTTGCATTTCAAAACTATGTTACCATTCCAGAAGAGCATCACTGGGGCTCTGGTGACTTTGACTTTCACTATAGGTTGATTTCAATACTAAGACTTACCTCAACGATTTTACAGAGTCAGTGGGGATGGATTAGTAGGATGCTGTGTGTTTGGCAAGCTGGATTTTTTTTTTTAGGGGCCCAGCCTTTTGGACCTATGTTTTGGCAAGAATTAAGAATTTGTTTCTATGCAGGTTGCTGCATCAAGAAGGGGCTACACCTTAACTTTTTAGCCTGTTATATAGGAAACCAAGTTGCTGGAACAGTTGCTCTTTTAGGATGTTTGGGAGCCAGGGAACTCTAATTTCCAATAAGAAATAGCCTTGAGATTTTGGTAGAAATCTGATTATTAATATAATTAATTTCCTGGCTGTTAGCCTTATAACTTTCTATCCAAGGTAGGTATTTTATTTTGCATATTGTTAGAACAAAGCTATCTTCTGACAAAATAGTAGCTACATCTGCATTAGGTTTTCAGACCATGCCTGGAAAGCATTAGTAATTCCAGGTATATATATATAGGATTCTAAATAGGTTTAATCCTTCTTTATCAGTAAATGCCATGAATTGATGCACTATTTTTGGTCCAGTCAAAAATAACAGTTGTTTAGCTGCTTGAGTAATTCTCCAGTCTTGTGTAAGGAGTCATAGTGGCAAGTGCACAAATTCAAAAAAGGGGGAGAATTTAATATTTAGAACTTGCAAGGATGGCTATGATCATCAGAGAAGACCCAAAGGAGTTTGCTCTGCATCCCACCAACCTAAACTTATGTGGACTGTGCTGGATTTCCTGTGATTGAGTTTGTGATCTTGAAACTCTGCTATAAAAGATGCAGCTGATTTGATCGATGAAACTGCAAATGCATAAGCCTTTGAGTTATGACTCGATGAGCTCAAAACTGTCAAGAGACCTCTGAATTTGCATTGGTGCCTCAATTATGGTTCTTAAGTGGGATTAGAGAGAAGAGAAACTAATACTGGCAAAGCACCAATTGCTGCTTTATAAATAATGCCCATTTATAAATAAATACCCTGTCTCATGGGCAGAGTTTGCACTCTTAAGATCTTGGCTATTTAATTTAAATTATCCCTTCATAAGCTTGTCTTTATTGAGAAACAGTACTCTGTATATACCTTAATGGCTGCAAAGAATTGACTTAGCCAGAAAAGGGTAAAATAACACTAAAAAAATACTTGTTCATGCTTGTTTTTCAGATTATAGATACAAAAAAGATGAGCTTTTCAAGAGACTGAAAGTTACAACGTTTGCCCAGTTGGTGAGTTTGGTTGTCTGTCTTTTGTTGGATTTTAAAACCACTACTTTGTACGATGTCATGAAATGAGCTTTCAGATTTGAGATCTAGTGCGTGAGAGCTGGATTCTTCCACTGACTCTCATTCCATGGCTAGGCTGACTCATTTTTTCATATTGTGTATGTAACTTTATCTTTCCATTTGGTAGCTTATGAAGTACAATATCATGCTTCCTACTTTGAAAGTGGCCTTATTCAGAGTTTGAGGTTTTTGTTTTTCTTGTACATTAGAGTTAATAGCTAAAATCTAGGTCTCCAGATCTGCCCTGGATTATTTAAAACAGAGGTGTCAAACTCATAGGAACACTGATTTGTACATATGGATCCCTGTGGACTGCGTATTGACTTTGTTTAAAAAATGTGATGTTATCTATGTTTTGTTGTATCATTGTTTATCTTGTCAAATAATTCTCAATTATGTTTTAATCCAGTTTGTGACCATTTTTTGTTCTTATTTCTACCATGGTCACAAAATCAAGGACAACAAAGGAAAAGGCCTTCAGAGATCATCTGGCCTGTCTTGCTTCAGCAAGACAAATGTCTCAAACCAGAGGTGTTAAACATGCCAAGCATGATCCAAACTGGACTAAAACGTAATTGGGAATTATTTGTAATAATTATATTCACCGTAATGCCGAGTCTTAATTATATTTACTGAATACAATCTTGTCATGGTATTACATATAATATTATGTTAGAGTCAGAGTGCAGAGGATGATATACTTTCAAAGTTGCTTATGTGCTGCTTCTATGGAATCCCTTTCCTTGGCCTCTCAAGTTTATTGTGGAATGTTTGAATTAATTATGCCAAGAAGTCATTCATTAAATGCCAGGCGTTGTGCTCAGTCTTAGAGATAAAAAGACAATAATGAAACAGTTTCTCCCCTTGAGGAGCTGATACTATATTGGGACAACAGCATGTAAATATATGAGTATATACAAAATGTAGGGAAATATGAGGTAATATTGAAGGAAATCAGGAAAGATTTCATGTAGGAGGTGGTGCTCAAGCTGAACCTTGAAGTAAGGTCAGGATAGCTTAAGAGGTTAAGCTGAGGAAAGAAGTGCATGTCAGGCATGGGATGAGGTTAGTGGAGAATCCTGGGAAAATGTTTGGAGGTGGGAGATAGAAGATTGGGTGAGAAAAATCCAGCTTGCCTGGATCATAGAATGTGTAAAGGGAAGTGATATACGTGTATATGACAAGCCTAGAAAAAGCATGTTGGAGCCAGGTTGTGAAGGGCTTTAAAATCCAAACTGAGAAGTTTATATTTGAACCTATAGGCAATAAGAAACTTATTAGGAGCTTATTGATGAGGAGAGTGGCACGAGCAGACCCGTGCGTTAGGGTTCATTCTAGGGTAAGTACTAGAAGCGTACTAACCATCCCTAGAACCAGACTTAGGGTTGGGGCTCAGCCTGAGGATATTGAGAAGTTTTTTTTTTAACAAGAAGGGTGCTTTAATATTAGAGCCTTTTTCTACCTGCTCCAAAAAATAAATTGAACTGCCTAAACAGATGTACTTACAAGTTTCATCCTTCTTCTTCTGCTAGGTCATCCAAGTTGCTTCCTTGTCTGATCAAACACTAGAAGTGACAGCAGAAGAGATTCAAAGACTAGAAGGTAAAAGCAATGGTCCTGGCTCTTAGGGCAACATTTGGCTGAAAAGCACCTATCCAGTGTGACCGCCTGTTGTAGTAACACCGTTAGGGATTCTGGGCCAGGGCATGCTTGTTTATAACAGGAGCTCCTCCTACCCTTAGAAAAGCGCTGAATGGTGACTTCACCATTCTTTCTAAATGCGTCTTTAGAAATCTCTGTAACTTTGCCCTTGTTTGATATTTCTACCTTAAAATATTTGTATGTGTTCTAGATATTCTCTCAAACGAAGAGTAAAGAACAAAATCCATCAGTTGTACCCTTATAGAAGTGACTTCAAAGAATTATAATCTCTTTTCTGTGTCCTCGAACAGCTATCAGTCAAACGAGCCCTTTTTTATTGGGAGAGCATGTTTAGTTGTTAAAGACTGAGGCAGGCCAGGAAGTTGACTATGGTCAGGTTTCCTAGGGAACCCATAGAGAACACCAGGTTTGTGCCACTCTGTTATTTCCCTGGGAAAGGCTGAAGAGACTCTGAAAAGGGCAGGGGTTTGTCTTGGGCAGGTGGGTCTCACTCCAAAGGAATAAAGACTGCTTTATAGCTGAGGTAGGCACTGGTGGAGTCTCCTCATATGGGTGACCCCCCTAGTTTAAAGTCCGGTTATATAAGCAGCCCCAAGTTTGGTTATAAAACTCATTGTTGAAATTGTAGCATAAGAACATTGGGGTACTGCTATTTCCTTTTAGGAAATAAAGGTATCTTTGGAAACAATCTGTTAGGAAGTAGGACACCATGATGTGTGAGTAGTGTTTGGTGTTTCAAAAATACTAACTCAATCCAGGAAGTGCTGTTTCGGCTTGGCCCCTCTGTGGCCGTGAAAGGACAGTTTGGGTGGGCGAGGAACCTGCAGACCTCACCTGGCTGTATTGACTCACCTTCACCCTTCTCCACAGATCATAGTTCTGCCCTCGCTATTCCTAATGCTGAAGACAAGACCAATGGGAAAGGCAGTCCCACTGAGAAGCCACCCAGCCCCATCCAGTTCATCAGCAACACAGGATCCGGGGAATTGAGCCGCTCAACACTGCAGAGGTACCCACCTCCTCGCCCAGCCCCGACCCATTCCACTGCCTTTGGCCACAACTTTTCCATAACCCCTCTGCTTCCTGCAGCTCATGGGGGGATGCTGCCTGGGCCTGGATGCGCAGCTCTGGCTGCTCCTCCCCTTCCCCCCAAGGCAGGCACCTGATCAGAATGTGAGTCAGGGCAGCCAGCAGCTTTCAGCCCATAAACTCTACAGAGCCGGCATCTTGCGTACAATATTCACCTCACACAGAGGAAACTCAGTTCTAAGGCTTGTTTTCCATTCATTCTAGCGGCTTCTTGGCTTGTCTTTCATAATCTGTCTTGAGGCATGGTAGGTAGAG